CCCAACTTGTAGGCCATCTGACCTACCTTGAAAAACAAAATGCTGTTTTGGGATTTATTCGTTGTGACAAAATGCTGGGGCACTGGTCATGTAATCTTAGCCAAAGTGAAGGATTTGTGTTCAGACAGAACCGTCGACTAGTCAGCAGTGCCTGTTAGCTGTACAGGTACTCCAGACTCGATTGTATGATCATAATGATTCACAAAACTCATTTAATCTAAAATAACATGCTGCCTTGTAAGATTTTATTTAATATAAAAGTTACCTTTTCAGGCAGGAAGGCTTTTCTGCATTCAGGTATACAAAAGGGGACCTTATATCTGGATTCAACATTTTCACTTAGGACTGCAGAGAGGAGAAGTGCCAGGAGGTATGGTCATCATTTCTGGGAATCAGTGATTGGGCTGCCAATTGTAAAATAAGGCCCAGAAAACGACACCAGTTCTTCTGGCTAAGATCACCTGATCAATGCCTCGGAAGTTGCACATGTGACCAACAATGGGGGAATTGTGGACTGCTGGATTCTTTAGGGTTAGGTATGTATTTTAAGGGTATGACTTCTTATGTACAACCTTAGTGATAAAAGTTTATTAGTTTAAAAGAGCAACAATTTTCTAAAAATATTTATGCATCTATGTCATATTATTTTAGATCTATTGTGAATGCCTTAACTTATCATTCATATCCCGATAGCAGCAAATATACAGTAGCTTATTGTGCTTACTTACCTCTGAGATATGGCTCCCCATGCTCCATGCTTATTGGTCAGAATGTTGAGGATCTTCTGTTTCAGCTGATTGGCTGTCACATGATCCCTATGTTTGGCTGCACTGATGAGATGATCACACATCTTTTCTTCTTCTCTCCTATCTGCAGCATACTGAGCACACTGTGACTAAAAGAAAGAAATACAATTCATTACGTCATATTCTTGTTGAATGTTACCCCAAAATGTAAATACTGTATACAAACAAGTAAAGTTATGCAGAAGGCTTCACAGCTCCCAGGCTTCCTGGATCTTTTAGGTGAAAAACTGATAGAAAGAGAATAAAGAATGACCTAACTTATAAAATATCTGCAGATGTCTGTGCAAACGTTTAAAAATATATCTCTTTAAGTGTGTTACTGGCTCTAAACCTAACACCTTTTTTTATTTACTTCCAGTTGACAGAAAAAAAAATCCTAATTTATAAAAATAAAAAATGATAAGGAGAGCAAATTCATTCTTTAAATGTTCCTTTATTGGAAAGCAAATAAGCAATTAGCACAATAGTCTGACTCTTTAATGAGGCTAATATTTCATTCTTTAATTGGAACGCAAGATTAAATTATTACGCTTCACTCTGAATGATGGTTTCATGAATATTAACAGTACATGAAAGTGGATGCAATGATTCAGAGAAATATTCGGATATCTGAAAAATGACTCTCAATATACAAGGACAGCACATATAAAGAGATTACACTGCAGGAACTAAAGTAGGGTGGTTCACATCATCTAAAGGATAGCTGTACTTTTACACTAAAAAGAGAAATTATATATATATATAACATTGGAAATATAATAGCTTACGTAGCAGAAATATAAGAACTGTAATGACATCATGCCACCATAAACATTACTATGTTTACATTCAGTATATGACTGAGGTTTCATCCATTCTTCAATTGTATTTACAGTGAAACTCTGGACATACAGCAAAATACACAGGTGCAATACATATACAGGTACACTACTGGTTTATTGTTTTCAGGGATGTGCAATCCTGTTCAGACACTCTTGTGATTCACACCTCTGTCACACCGCATAGCCAGAAAGATCACTATATTATTACCAGATTTAGCTTTTTAGCTTCATGGATCATATGTCTGCTCATTGCACAGAGGCAATTCATTGTCCAAACCACAGCCTGAAGAGTAGAGGTGATGCTGTCAGCTACAAAGATGAACCTGAAAACAGTGTTTCACCTGTCTAGCTATACAGCCATATAAATAACAAGACTGGCTTAAAGGACAACTGTACCTTTGTGCAGTTGCCCAATATTAAATTGTCCCCACCCTCCAAGTGCTGTCCACTAGGTCTTATACTTCTCTTCAGCCCTGATCCAGCGATCTTTACTGTATGACGCCACTTAGTCCTGGAAATGGCCGCTCAGTACTGTGAATGCACACAATTCCAGGATCTTGTCAGAGTGTGAAGTCACCCATTCCTGCACAGAAGCTAGGTGTAAGGCAAGAATAGTTTTTAACTTTTCTCCAGGGCTTTTAAATAGGGGGTTTGGAAGACTCCTGAATTGGCAGACTTTACATTTTTGGGTGAGGTCCTTTTCACCAAGTTTACCTGAAATTCGGTTTTCAGTGAATCATTTTGACTAAATACTTTAACTGCATCTCATTGTTAATTCATGTAAAACATGGTTTGCCTTTTTCCAACTACCAGCTGCCTGCAAGACTTCACAATATAAACATACAAAAATCTCAAGATATTTTAGGGTATTTGTAAACAAAATGTATCTTTTCTTGCAACTCCATGAGTATCACATTCTATAAAAATACATTAATAAGATTAAGAACATATACTTTAAGTCAGACAAAGCAATACCCCCCAAAAATAATTTTAAAAATCATTAAAAAGCCTGACTGTGATTTTAGCTGGTCACAAGCACAATACAGAAGGCCACAATAAGTGCATTGTGATTTTCAGACATTTGAACCTACTGCAATTATAACAGCTCATTATGAATTTTGTGAAACTGGTTCGATTTTGCATCCAATTAACAAAATTCTGGAATATTTTGTGTCTAGCAAATATTATTTGGACCAATCAAAATTTCAGCTCATCTTTACAAATATTGAAGAACAATCCCTAGAAAACTGCATAGGACAGTGTTTTTATTTTTTTCCTTAAAAAAAAGGAGAACTACAGCTGCCTAAATCACTAGGTATAAAAAACATAAATATATATAAAAAAAAACCCAATATAAAACCTCACAATCTAATGTCTCTCAATCTGATCTTTTCTTGTAAGTCACAGCACAAGGACTAGTACATCAAACTGCAGGCTTAAGAGAACTGTCTGAAAGAGATAAGAAGCTCATCAAGTCTTGGGATGGCTTGTGCTCTGCAGCTGGAGGGCACCTTTATAGAACTCGGACACAGTTCTATATTTAATTTTGTCTATTCAATCCAATCTGCTTCATGTCAAATTCACAATGTCCAAGCTACACATACAGGGACACACACATGGTCCACAGCTATTAAAAGCACACTCATATGAAAATCGAAAATTAATCCTGGAAATGCAAACAGAACACAGCCAACCTGTTCAGAGATTCTCTTTTGTATTAAATCATGGCTGTAGTACACCAGTTCTCTCCAACATATTTTATCAGTAATCTGTTGATACTTACATTTTTATATCAAAGTAATAGAATTGTTCCATGACTGGGCAAACAGAGAAAAAGCTATCATGTAAACTCAGTGGTTCTCAACCTTTCTAGGGCCGGGACCCCTTGGTAACATTTGCCAAGTTGTGGTGACCCCCAAAAAACGATCGCAGCGAAAGGTTTACTCTGCTCCATTGAGCAGAGTAAACCTTTCCGGGAGAAAGTGTTTCTCTCCCGGGCGGCCGGGAGCCCCTATCTAATAGCAGGAGACTCCCAGCGACCCCTGGCAAATAGTCATTCGACCCCCGAAGGGGTCCCGACCCACAGGTTGAGAACCGCTGATGTAAACTGGTCAGGAAGGGACAACAGTCTGAAGTGACTGTCCTAGATATAAGTAGGTGCATTGATCAACACAACTGCCCGGAAAAACTGTGAGGTGGAAGCCTGCTCTTTCCCAGTTCTGTAAACGGAGGCTGGTATTATATTAAAAACCTTTCAACTGGATGGAGGAGGCTTATTTATGCCCTTCTAGATCTCACAGATCCCAAACTTGGTGAACCATGTTTCTCGCTCAGAAGGTCATGAAACAGGACAATCAGATAGTATCCCGTTCCTCCTGTCCTCATTAACCATTATATACTGCTGAGACATCTCCATCTTGGCCAAACTTGTTTTTCAGCAAACGTAAAGACTCAAAATATCACAGGACTAAGACAAAGAGGATACAAGCTTAAGCAGAAGTAGGACTTTAACTATTAACATGTCATCAAGTGAGTGATTGAAAAAGGTATGATATGGACTAGGACATGGCTTAGATTTTGCTAATGAGAAGAGAAGGGATCATATATGATTTGTTTTTAAAAGATGCCAAGTGTAGAAAGCAACAATTGTATAATTTTTTTATACAACTTAGGGAGTCACTGACACAAAACAGAATGCTGTCAGTGATGTTTCATCTCCAGACGTCCATACTTGTTGCAGGTTGGTGACTTGCTAAATGTTTAAAAACAGTCCTAGAGCTAGAACCTTTTAAAACAAGTAATTAGTGCTCTCTTAAATTTCTATATTGACACCTTGCTTATGAAGTGTAGGCACAAGATGGGAATTTTCTTCAGACGTTCTGAAATCTACAGCAAACTCAAACAGCATTATATCTTAATTAAAGGTCTATATTGCTCTGCAGAAAGCCAAAAGTGATTCTTAACGTGGGCTTGTCCAGTCCACCACTATGTGAATGATACCTGCACAGAAATTGTTTCCAAATCATCAGAGAGTGAAGAGTTGGCTGGTTTCCTATTCGAAAATGAAAACCATTGTCTGAGAGGCCCATGTCTGTAAGCATAAATCTCTCTTGATTTACAGAAAAAGATTTATAAAGTGGAAGGACTACCTCTGAGCACATCTACTACCAGTATGTCTCCAGAATCCAGGGAGCAGAACAGAGGATGTATATATTCTGACTACTGGCAGACAGGTTGATAAGAGATGTACCCCATGCAAAGTGAAGATAATGTCTTTTACTTAAATAAAAACTACAGAAACTGATAAAAAGTTCTTATCCCATGCGAACGTCTCTTATAAGTTAGGGAAAAGAATACTTTGTATACCTAACATGAAGGTTTATGTAAACAGTAATATCGTCCAAGCTCTTCACATCCTTGCCTATACTCCAAGCTTTTCTCTAAAATGAATCTATCCCAAACTAATTTTAAAAGAGTTCCCTCACCAAGCAGAGTGCCCCTAACTTCAAAATTTGAACAAGAGTCAATAAGCTGGCATGGGCCATACGGATCAACAGATGTCTACTCAATTTAGCAAGTCTACTGAAATGAGCCACCAAGCAAGCAATTGTAACAGTCGACGGTTATGTCTAATGCGGATCTCAGCTGCGGAGTGTGTGTGAAGTGTAATGTTTGGGCTCAGTTTTGCGGAACCCCAATGCACTCAGTACCAAGGGGAACCGTTACACATCATATACCCCTATTCCTATGTGGTGGAGATGTATTACCCTGATGCTATAGGAGGCAGCAGGATCTGGAGCTATCAGTCTCTGTAGTTTGGGTTGGAGGAAGTAGCAGTAAAGAGTTGGAAGTAGATCTGCATATGTAACCGGTGAGTAGGATCTTCCTACAGCTAGATTGGATTTGGGGTAGGAGTATAAGCAATACAATTGGTTACTTGATACGTAATTTGTTTGTCTGTAGTTGCAATGGTTTGAGAAATGGCTACTAATAGGATGAAGTGAACCCGCATGTGAATTTGGGAGATTGGAACAGGATATCTCTCTAGACACAGTTCTATGAATCAGAAATGCAGTTTATGGAAGTGAGAGCAACCAGCAGTTGTGAAACACCTCTCACGATACATCAATCCAGCAATACGGTTCTAAGTAATTGGTGCAACAGTCATATTATAACCAACTTGTTTCCTTGCACAGTTCATCAACTCAATTTTAGTAGTGTATGAAAGGAGACAGGAGGTTTGAATCTGTGTAGCTCCCTCCTGAATCCCACTACAGCACAACCAGCTTAGTGAGTAGTAGTAACAGCTGGGAATTATCCCTTTACTTGCATTTGATTGAACTCTCTGTAGACAGCAGGGAACAACTGTGGATGGTATCACTATTCAAGATGAGTTGTTGGTACGGCTTCAGGATGGACCTAGGACAGGTTCGTTTGGTAATGGTGGGAGGCAGCGATGGAACAAGGCTATTACTTCGTGCAGTAATGCAGTCTCTGTTTCAGTACAGAGAGTCACTCGCTCGACGATCCAGAACGATAGTACGCCGAGTGAGTGGCTCAGCTGTGCTTTTAAGGAGTAGCTACGGCCGGGGGGAGGAGTCGACCGTGATGTCACGAACGGACCGAACCCTCTGACACGGAGCTCTGAACCGTGTGGGTCTATGACAGTGAGCAGAAGATTCAGTGCTTGGCGGGCCGACTCTAAGGGAGTTTTGTGTGCCGGGGTCTTGAGAGAAGGCTTGGGAGCATTCGTTGAAGGCTCTCTCAAACGAGGCCAGTCTTGCGCAAGCTTTCCCTCTTAATTTTGTACGACAACTGGATGATCCGACCCCTGAGGACAGGTTTATGAGCCTCCCATAGGGTGACAGGGGAGATATCAGGTGTTTGGTGGATTTGGATATATTCTGCAATGTAGGACTCTAGCAGGGTCTTGGTGGAGGGGTCGGCTGGAAGGCAGTCATTCAAGGTCCAGGTCGGGGAGCAGGGTAGGAAGAAGTATTGTTACAGCTGAATGGTCGGGCCACGGAATCGGCAAGATGTGAGAATGAAGAATGTGGGGAGTTAGGGTTGCAGAGGTGAAGATGTGATCAATCCGGGAGTGGACTGCATGTGGATGGGAGTAATGTGTGTAGTCAATGCTATGTGGGTTGACCTCCCTCAAGCTATCTACCAGTGAGTAGGAGGACATTAGATCTCTGAAGGGTTTTGCCATGTGCAGGCAGTTAGGAGAAATTTTGGATTTATCTCGATGCGGGTACAGTACCATGTTGGAGTCTCCACACATGATGACTGCACCCGTCGAACGGGTGCAAACTTTGTCTAGGAGGTCCCGAAAGAAGGCTATCTGATCCACAATCGGGGCGTAATAGGAGACTAGCGTAATCTCCTTATCATCCAGGAGACCCGTGAGGATCAGGTAACGTCCCTGAGGATCGCGGGTCTCCGAGTGGCACGTAAAGTTTGCTGATCTGCGGAAGCCAATAAGGACCCCTTTCCTTTTGCACGAGTCATTGGCCATGTATATCTGCGGGAATTGGGAGCTGAAGTATTTGGGGCAGGACGTTCTGGAGAAGTGAGTTTCCTGGAGGAAGATTATATCAGTGTGGGCAGATTGGAAAAATCTGAAGGCTTGTGTCCTCTTGTTTGTGGAGTTGAGGCCTTGCACATTAAGGGGTCAAATGGGGATAAGGCTTATGGTACTCACCCAAACTGGTTGAACGAGAGGCATCTGGTACCGATGTCCATATCGACACATGGCTCGACTCTGAATGCAACAGGAGGATCCGAAAAGGGAGGACAAGAAGGTGGGAAGATGGGATGACAAGAGGAAAGGGATATACAAGACAAGACACATCAAACAGCAAAACAAATACGAAAACAAGTAGTGGATAGAATCCACAACATGCCTGGAACGTTGGGCGGATGGGACTAAAGTACCACATACCTCCTAAGGTATCCAAGAGATGGGGAGCACAGTGACGCGCTCGCCCAGGCAAAGATATCTGCAAACAAAACGTTTGTCAACCTTGTATATAAAACATTGTAGAATAATAAAGAATCTAGAACATGTCAGTTAAGTACATTAAATATGTTCAACAACAGAATTTTAACAGAACCGGTGGTGTAAGGGGGGGGTGAGTTAACTAGGCATTGAGAGGTACATTCCTAGGTCAAGTGGCCTTAAGGTAGTATAGGGCAAATAGTAATAGGGTTCTATTACTATTTGGTAGTCAGAGGTAGTCAGTGTCTAGTGCGCCAACTAAGGGCCAAGGCCGAAAGTCAGTGGCGGCTGTTGGTAGGCTCTAGTAACTGAGGAGAGGCCTGCAGCATGACTGGTGGGGGTCTGCGGATGGGGGCCTATCACAAGCCTGCAAGGGTTACGATAATAGGGCCCTGTCCCACTGATGGTGCATAAAAGTGGGTTACATGTAAGTTACCAACAATGCTATAGTACAGTGAATCACCAACAAAAAGGATATTGTGCTGGAAATACGACAGTTGAAAAGTAGGGGGAGTAGGGAAAAGGGCTCGCTGCACAAGTGTGAGATGAGAGGGTTCGATGGTTAGGGAACAGTCCCTTTTCCCAGTGGGATAGACAGGTCCCCACAGTGGAGCAGAGGATGGTGTCATAAGAGGTGATCATCAAGGCACTTCGGGAGGGTCCGTTCTCTCAAGTGGAGGATTGGTATAAGAGATAAGGGTCTCAGCAGAGGCGATCAACACTTGAAGGGATGGTAGATCCGTAGAAGGAACGGGGAGTCTCGAGGTCCAAGTAGAGTTGGGTGGGCACGACAGTTACCAACGCACACAAATAAGTACCTTGCCTTAGTCGGTGTCAGGCTAAGGCAAGTTGACGGTTGGGGAGGTTAATGCTGCGGTCTATATACTTAGTTGCCTGGGCGAGCTGCGGAGCCGTCTCAGAAGGCATCTTCCATCGGCAGCTGCGCGCATGCGCCCCCATGTATAGTATATTTTATGATGAGGAGTGTGAGAAAGGATGGACCCTGTTCGTTAGAGTGGATCTAGTAGGAGGGGCAAGTGATACAAGTTCTATGAATCAGCAATGCAGTTTATGGAAGTGAGAGCAACCAGCAGTTGTGAAACACCTCTCACGATACATCAATCCAGCAATACGGTTCTAAGTAATTGGTGCAACAGTCATATTATAACCAACTTGTTTCCTTGCACAGTTCATCAACTCAATTTTAGTAGTGTATGAAAGGAGACAGGAGGTTTGAATCTGTGTAGCTCCCTCCTGAATCCCACTACAGCACAACCAGCTTAGTGAGTAGTAGTAACAGCTGGGAATTATCCCTTTACTTGCGTTTGATTGAACTCTCTGTAGACAGCAGGGAACAACTGTGGATGGTATCACTATTCAAGATGAGTTGTTGGTACGGCTTCAGGATGGACCTAGGACAGGTTCGTTTGGTAATGGTGGGAGGCAGCGATGGAACAAGGCTATTACTTCGTGCAGTAATACAGTCTCTGTTTCAGTACATTGAGTCACTCGCTCGACGATCCAGAACGATAGTACGCCGAGTGAGTGGCTCAGCTGTGCTTTTAAGGAGTAGCTACGGCCGGGGGGAGGAGTCGACCGTGATGTCACGAACGGACCGAACCCTCTGACACGGAGCTCTGAACCGTGTGGGTCTATGACAGGAATGGAGAGATTTGGGTGGGCAGAATGATTTTCCCTTCTAGTAAATATATGTTTTTGTGTGGCAGCAAAAATAGAAGCTCTGTCCATTTCATGGCTACACTGCAGGATGTTAAGAAGTCCAGAAAGGGCATCACTTCTAAGGGAAGAATTACTCATATGGATAAGGTGTTGGAAAACAGTGCAGTGTAACTTTTTTTGCTACTGAACTTAATTGAAATGTCACAAAGTGACATTTCATTCACTTCTATGTACTGCAGCATGTTGTGATGCTGTGCGCTGCGTCACAACAAACTGCAGTGAAAAAAAACTGCATGTACTATTCTTTTTTCTTCAGCACACATCACTGCAACATGGTGGTGTGAACTGACTACACTGTAAACAAGGCATTTTGCTTTGTCTATGCATTAGGACTCTACTAGGCAAAGCTGTTCAGTGCAGCCTAACGCATCTGGTGTGAAAAGGCCCTTAACGTCTAATGACTCATTGACCAGAGGTTGCTCATTGACCAATAACTGCTTGTTGCCTCAATAAAAATGTAATTCTGAATACAACTCTCACCAGAATGAACATGAGAAAAGTGAGAGCCAGTTAAAAAGTTTTGCGCCAAACCAAAGATGCCAGATGCCCCACCTGAACTAAAACCGCAGTGAAAGGGAATCTCTACCAAATCTACAAAAATAGTAGAATGTAAATGTTTGCCCTCAGAATTTCCCTATGATGTGATGAGAGCCTAAGCCTCGAAGATTAACCCCTTCGTGACTGACGACGTACAGTGTACGTCGCCAGCATCGGAACATTTGCTCCCTGTTGGCATATTAAGACACTGTAATATACATTGTCTTAACATATTTCATATATGTAACCTGAGAGCATACTGAACAACAAAGCAAATGAGTCCAGTATTCTATTTCTAAACACCCTTTGATCTAAACAATTCCTAGATACATCCTCACACTATTTACAGGCAAACACTGTAACTCCTTTGTAAAAACGTACCATAAAGACCTGCGGCAATGCTATTTATTATATAGAAACTATTTCTGAAACGACAAGCGTAAGTAACGTGTCCAAACTTCTATTGATCCTAAAACATAGGATGGACAATCTGGAAAAGTGTATACTGCTCTGACAATGCGAAGGAGATTTAAAGAGGCTCTAAAGCTTTTCATAATAAATCTAGGCTCTGCATTATAACAGTACATAATGGAACTTTTTTTATGAGGGAATTCCTCCAAGCTGCAAATATGTTCATACATTTCAGACAGGGAAGTAAATAATAAACTTGTTCCTTGTGCTTGACAATAACCAAAGCTTTTTTTTAAGGCCTGAGCTCAATTAAACGCATGTTCTTTTAGCTAAAATATGAATAAAAAACACCCCTGTGTATGACGTTACAAGGGACGTGATGATAGATTGGAAACAGAAAGTCAGGACTTTATCAACAATGCTGCTTACCTCAAACTCAGCGTGTTTGTGTACATCCTCTGCTCGCTGTCTGTTCAAAATGAACTCTGCTTCATTTGCAACCCGCACTATGTGATCCTTCATGGCATGGCACAACAGTCTGGAAGAGAACATTTGGAAACATAAGACATGTAGCAGTTTACAAAATCCAATGTGTTTAAAATATTTAAAAAAAAACTAATTTTCTTAAAGCCTGAATTCACTGAGAGGAGTGTATCAAACCTGGAGCAGACAGTCAGCTTCTCTCTTCTGTTTATTTGGTTAATATTTGAAAGTGAAAGATAGAGGCTGATTGGTTGCCGTGCAAAACTGCTCCAGATTCTGTCTGCTCCAGTTTTGATCAATTCTTCTCATGGTTTTTTTTTTAAACTTTTTTTATTTGCTGACAGAATCTACTCAACCTGAAATGTTAACTACAGATGAATAAGAAATTTAACATTAGTCAGGGGAACTTTTAAGTTTTACCTATCAGCTCAAATTGTTGAGATAACTGGTACAGAACTGTACACACCACTAGCCTTTTCTATTTACTTTTAACAACTTTAAAGGACAATATTATTTTATTTGAAAGATATAAACATACAAACAAAATAAAAACACTTTTTTGCAATCATATTTTTCAAAATGTAACTTTTAAAAATGTAAACTTTTTAATTAAAGAGTTAAGTCAACTGAATTTTTTTTACGCCAATTGCAAGAAACGTTACAAATTTTTGCTCAGTATGAATCAGAATACTTCTTCTTGCTAGATTATTAACAATATTCAAATTCAGTCAGAGGTGATTAATTTCTGCAGTCTGATATTCCCACACTCCATTTGCTTTCAATGGGTTAGATTTGTAAATGCTTGCAACAGTTTTGTCTGTAAAATCAGGCCTTGAAATTTGGGATCCGATGATCATATTACAGACATTATATGCAATTTTACATCTCATTAACCTTGCTTTGTTTTAATTATAGTGATCCTTTTGTTGTAATATTTCGAACTACCTAGTTTATAATTTCAGTCTGTCCTTGGGAACACTTTAATTTAACCGCCCATTCATCAACTGTTTATGTCCCGTTAATTGTTGACAACTGCACAATTACATACCCTGGCTATGATTGATGAACTGCATTCACATGAGCAGTAGCCAAGAAGAATAAATATTTATAACAATTTATTCTCTTCAGATTCCTATCACAATTACCAGAAGGCTTTTGTAAAGCACACTAGTGAGGATGCCTCAAGGCTTAACACTTTATACTAAATGCTCTCACTCTCTAATTCCATTGTTTATTTGTACCATCAAATAGAAGACATAGCATTGGTCACAGTGAGGCTTGCTTTAGAGACCATAGAGGAAAATCGCAGCCCATCATATTTTGGCTTTTACTTCCAGCATGTTTCAGAGAATGACAAGTCAGCCCTGTACCTTAACGTCATGAGAAAAAACAACAACTGATTTGTGCTTCTTTTAGGCAAAATGTCCTTAACATTTCTGTAAATACACCTAAAGCATTGTTCCATTAATATAACAATTGTATTGTTTTCAGATTCTAAGACAAAATAAAACAGATAGATGAGGGTTCTATGTATAAAATAAGTAATAAAAAAAAATATTAATCTAAAAACTCTAAGAAGTCATAATTCTGATACATTGTCCCTGAACTTTAAAATAACTCTAGCCAAAACAGTTTCTTTAATTTTGGATAAAGAAGGGACAGCATAGGACCTTTGGTAGGTTGTTATTCCTGTCTGTGTCCTTACTGCATGAACCAATGACAATACTGAGACCATAATTGAGAGGAAATTTCCACAATGGGTCCATGCAAATCAATAAACATCAACCACTTCACCTTACTAACCATCTAAAGAAACAAAACAATTTGGCTTAAAGATATTTCAGTCATACTTTTCTACTAGGACCCAAAGACTCTTCTATATATTAAATGCATCCCGGGAATAAAACCTGAGCAAAGTGATAGTAACAAGTTCCATAAGGATTTTGGAGTGCTACATATCACAGCCTAATTGTACTCACAATTTGCACAATAAACTGCAGCTAAGCACTAAATCATACATTAAAACATGATGAATGATACATTAAAACAACCCACATTTTTGGAATAACTGAGATGTATTGCACTTCAATGACACTCTGAAACTTTATGGGCTTCAATTTTTTCTGTTTACCTAATACTGAGCTATAGTTCAAAAAGTGAGTGATTGAAGTAGCACCTTGGACAGCACTAAGTCTTTCAACTACAACATTATTCTCCTCGCACTCCTGATTACACTGATATATGAGTACGGAAAGTAGAGCTGCGCTGACCAAAGCAGATGGAACAGCAGATGGATCTGCAGATTGGTTTCCCCAGATTCTCAGTGTGAAACAACCCTACAGGGCTAAAATGGTGCTGATGTAGAAATCTTCCATGGCTTTGTATACAATCTGTTTAGCTCTAGTGTTGAAACCAAGGAACCAAAACTGAAAACATGTTGCTAACATTGTTAAGAGCTTGTTTAACCTAAGCAGCAAAGCAAAACTAATCTAGACATTTTCTGTAAAAAGGACTTGCCTTCCTTCATTGATGAGTTCAATAAATGCCAATCCTGCGTTCTTCTGAATCGAGTTTTGCCATTCCTATGGATACAAGATTTCATTATTTAAACAATACTCATATAACCAACAAAATAGAAGATTTGGAAGTGTAAGCTGATCATTTTACACAATCTACAACTTATAAATGAACACTATTGATAAAATAATACATTCCTATAACTGTATGTGGTTAATGTTTGTAATAGGGCTGGTACTGATTAAAATTTTCGTGTTCGCTTCATTGAAATTCTTTTAAATCGATTAATCGATTAATTTCGATTAATTATAACGCACATACAGATCCAACTACATTGGCCTATACACATACAGCACAGCAATGAAGTAATAAAATGAAGTAGGATCATACTAATCCAGCACGTTATTAATCTCACGTGCCCCACTCAATATGGCCGCCGCTTGAGTGGGGCAACTCAGAATAATAATGTGCTGGATTAGTGTGATCCTAGTTCATTTTATTACTTAATTGCTGTGCTGTATGTGTATAAGCCAATGCCTTGGCTGGCGCTCGTGCAGAAAGTTTCCAAAAAATGTTAATCGATCAAAAAAATGTTAATCGATCAAAAAGATTAACGATTAATCGAGAAATTAATCGTTAATTTGCACAGCCCTAGTTTGTAACAATAAGATTTGGTATATTACTTTATTATTTCAAATTTCCATATTTATATTTTTCTCCATATTCACATAAAAACCTGACCAGTAAAGTGACAGTGACGGGAGTTGGGACAAGCTGTAACACTGGCAGGGCTGGTTACAAATAATTTTAAAACGGTTACTTGCTTTTTATACTTTTCTGGTTTTTTAACAGTGTAATTACTCTGCCTCTGCTCCCCATTACATCTCAACTACTGACTGGTTCATGGTTCAAAAAAACTCTACATAAAAAGAGACATCCCCTAGAGCTGGCCATACACCTTACAATTTTCTGCAGATTTCATGTGGTCAGATGGAAAAGGTGCAACAGATTCCTCCATCTACACTTAACTGTGTGGATGGAGAAATCTCCACCTGGGCCAATCTGTTGCACTTTTTCCATCTGACGACAGAAAATCTGCAGATAATTGTAAGGTGTATGGACACCTTAAGAGTGTTAAGTGGGCAACCAGCAGATTCAGGTTTGGAAGTTTTAATATTAAATACCCTAACAGGGTATTAAATATTAAAACTTTAATACCCTGTATTAGTAGTGTAGTACATAGTACGACTTCGGTAGCGGGCCCATTTTAAAACAGACTCCCTGCTATTGGCTTTACAAAATAAGTGATTATGGTGGCTCAGCTGCCGCCAGATGGCTTCTAGGGGCTGGTAAAGTGCCCGCCGTGTTTCCCGGGCTCTGCTGCCCCTCCTGTGGGACTGGGACTGGAATCTCGGGTGTTGACGGGAAGCTGGGGAGAAGAGCGACAAACATCAGTTCACCGATCTCCTCCCCGCTCTTTAGGACCGGGAGCAGTGCGTTTTGCATCACTTCCGGTCCCTGACCTGTCATTGCTGGGCTCCTGAAGCCCAGCAATAAGCTATTAAAGTGTGATCTGATCAGATCACACTTCAACAGCTTAAAGTGGAAAGGTGACACTAGTGGCCTTTTGGACCCCTGGGGGTTGATTTACTAACCTTATAAACACACCACGAACGTGTATACACCTCTGTAGTGTGTTCCCTCCCAGCATGATCTATGGGTGGAATCTAAACACCTTTGTAGTGTGTACACACCCAGCAGGTGTGTTGTGCAAAGCCCTGCCCTGAATTGCAAGGTGATGTTGTGTAAATTAGCTCTATGTTGTGTTGCTTGCGTTGATGAATGCAGGAATGTAAATGCATGAGCTAACCATTTTTGTCTAAACTGTGAAGCAGCATTATATATGCATCATGTGCATGATTTTTCCATATATGGCATTAGTGGAAACATGCTTATAGAGACTTTTTGGTTGATAGATACGCTTTGCTGTGTAAAAATCACACGCACCTGGTGCGTGCGTGTGTTTAGGTTAGTAAATCACCCCCCTAGTGTCACCTTAAAGAGTACCTGTCGCCGCCAATATGCTATCACATGGAGGCTTGTAAGCTCCCCTATGTAATAGCAATTCAAGTAAAGAAAAAACAAAGTTTTAAAAATAATATAGAATAAAATAAATGTAAAAATAATGTAAAAATGTTTTTAAGTCCCCTGCGAGCACATTCCCGCAAACATGCTTCAGGTGCACCTGTGTACGAAAACAAAGATTGCGCTACACATGTTGGGCATCGCTGCACACACCAGCGTGAGAGCAATAACTCTAGGGCCAATATTTACGCGTATCTCTAAAGTGATGACCTGTATGGGTTTTTAAAGCGTAATTTATATAATTTTTTTTGCCGTTTCACAGACGCACGTAATTTTTAACCTGGGCATGTTGGGTATCTATATACTCGTCGTAACCTCATCTTTCATATTTTACAAAAAATGCACGCACTCAAGATGATGTGTACAAGCCCTTAAAGTATATTTGCACTTATATATATATATATACACACACATACTCTTTTCTGAAAACTCTAAAACTGAAGTTCTTCTATTCTCTTTACTTTCAAGAAGGGGGCTTGAGTATTGGGGAATTAATATTTTCCATAAATAACTATGTCTGTACAGTGCAGGCAAATCTTATTAACTGTTGTAAACTAGATTTAAACACTGTCTGTCCTAAGAAAGAGTTAACGATCTAGAAGCATTTTATGTTAATGAAAGTTAATGCAGTCTGCTCCCCTTGATCTTGGGGGCGGACTCACTCACACACTTTTCACAGTAGCTTACAATCTACCCAATGGCATCCAAAATATTTGTGGGTATGCTGTGTGAATAGAAACACAAACACAGAGGGCTTTCACAAATTTGACTGCAAAAGTGGAAATACATTTTAAAGTTAACAAGGGTACAAAAAAAAAAAATAACACCTCAAAAAACAACTTTCTTTTCCTACTTGCAATGTTTATTTGCATATAAAAGAACAAATTTAAACACATCATAGCAACACTGTAGTTACAATATATATCAGAGCAATAGATGGGCAGGTCGTACAAAATTGTAATCACCTTACAACCACCGCACAACGAAAGTCGTGCAACAGTTGTAAGGTGTATGGGCAGCTTCAGAGTAAACCATCAACTGTATAAGGTAGCCGTCTTCTCTTCTTGTCCTACAACTCTTTCCTTCCAGCAGTCATTAAGTCATAGCACAGGAATAAACTTGGGACATATTTAATTTGTGTCCTCAGGACATGTAATACTACAGGGAGCAGTAATCTGTTTTCAGAGTAGATTTTCTTAAACAGAATATGTAAGCAATTTCATGCCTCACACTGCCCTGTCTAGGAGCAGTCAAAGGATACAACGAAGGTCAACGATGCCACAGGCACTGACCACTGGAATCTTTCTATCAGCTGTTTTAGGCAGAAGCCAATTGTCTGACAGACACATTTCAGGATGCTACTTCACAACACTCATGTATATATTTTACCCAATAGACTCAGAATTGGCTATCATTAAAACTAGAAATTAAACACTATTATAATTTATATCTATGTAATAAATATCATCTTACATTCCATATACCTTTTGAGCACTATATTTGTATTGACAGGAGCCCATTTCACCAGTTCCTTCAAGTTTCATACAAAGTCTTACTTTTTACAACTACTATAAATTGAATTGAAGTAGTACTAAAGCCTCTGCTTTTCTTCTGCAGATACATCCCTTTTGCCCTAAGAAAAACTTACAAAATAATGATTTATTTTTTTCCAAAATTCCTAAAAACACATTTATTTCATGTGAATTGTGAAGCTTCTAGTGTCTTCTGTGTGGCATCCAGCAACTGCCGGTATGAGAGTACATGCTGTGATTTACTCCACATGACTATGTGTCCCATCAACTTTAGTGCTATTGCTCATACGCGCTGGAGCCATGATTTCACCATTGCTATTCCCCTAGGCTGGCTGTGTATGTGCAGTCAGAGGTGGAAGGTATTCTATGAGCATGCATGTAAGGTTGGATCTGGTAGGGCCCCATAGAACCCTACAAGACAATAAGTCATCCCAACAGAAATCAAGGTCAGCGATGGGGGAGCAGCTAAAACGAGGAGAGAGAAATTAAGAAGCTTATCACTAGACAAGGGAATGGTGGCTGATGCAGCATTAAGTCAGGGAAGGTTATTCCTCAATAATAACTAAATCAGAGAAGGCCACAAAAAGAGGCTTTTCTGGCTAATACAAGCATCATATGCTTGTTGCCACTTTTTATATGCCTATATTTAAATTGAAGTACATGCTCACTTTAAAAGCTAATTCCACCTTTTGCAAAAAAAAAAAAAAAATCATTATTTCAAGCCGATTTAAAAAACGTGTGTTTTTATAAATTTTTTGCAAAGCACCACTAATAAGTGGATTGGGGTGAAATGCCCATGCTGCTGCAGACTATACGAGGAAGCCCCAGGTCTGTGCTGAGTTTATGTTACAGGACTAGAGGAATCAAACAATAGACCACAAGTGCAGTGATGTCACCGCAAATGTAGTCCATTGAGATCTATGTGTCCCTCTGCCATGGTGGCAGATGAGACATAGTATTTTCATGCACACCCTGTGAATGAATAACGCGGCTGTGTGGACAAAGCCACACACAGATGCACTGAATTCAACTATAGACAAGATGCTGTGGGGAGAAGAACCCCATAATACAGTAAAGGGTTGGGGGCTGTGACATGAAACATGGTCTGAAAGGTAAAATTAGCCTTTACGAAAAAATAAAGCTAGAAACCTTACGTATGTAGCTATATACCAATACATTACAGAAAAAACCTGGGTAAGCATAGGAGCAAAACATTTTGGAAAGCAGTAGAAATTGTAGAAACACCGGTGGAATCTGTAGATGAGGTAGAACAGAAGACTTTATTGCAGAAAGCACATAGAGAAGATTAACGCTTTGTCGTGTTTCGCGTTGCTGCTTTGTCGTAAGGATTCTTATGCACACATCATCTGTATGTGCTTTCTGGATTT